TATTTGTTATGTGTGATGTTTGTATGTGTTTAGCGGGCGAGGCCCAGAGACAGGCAGGGCTTAAGAGAAACAGATCTGTATACCGAGCGGGCCTCGATGCCAGGCGGGGCCTGATGCCGGACGGGGTCCGATGCCGGGCGAGGCCCGATGCGGCGGGCGGGGGCCCAGTATGTGGTTATGTGTTCAGGGTTATGTATGGCATGTATGGATCAGTTGATATGTATGGTATGTGGTAGGTTAGGGAACTCACTAAGCTTCGTGCTTACGGTTTTCAGTTTTGGTTTCAGGTACTTCGATAGCGGAGGGAAGAGCTCGGGATGATCGCATGACACACACCAAAGAAGTTTAGCCTGGGATGTTTACTATGATAAAATGAACAAGTGTTTTGAAAAGATACTCTGATTTGTTATATACCCCTTTTAGTATGTTTGAAATGATTTAATACTATGGTTTAGTAATGTTTTAAAAAGAAATTTTTGGTCATGATTTTTGGGATGTCACAATACTTCGTGGTTTACTGTGATCACACTGGAAATGGATGAAATCACATCCTAAAGTCAACCATTTTTGTTTGTTTCCTCCTCTAGACCGTAAACCTCATTGGAAACACTTTAGTGTGACCGAATCATCCCATCCCTTGGGGATTTTGTTCCTAATGGCTCCAAAATGGGGTTTACGGCCAACTATGGTCCACTAGGGATGTTTACGGCCAAACCATGACCCATTAAAGTAGTTTTTGGCCAAGGTGCTTTCTATGCATTGAGATTTCGGTCCTAGGTTCATCCTAGGGTGTGTTTTCGGTTTTGGATGTTCTAGGGTTTGTGGGGTACTAAGTCTAGATACTAATAAACAATATTATAAATCCATGATTCCTGTTCCAATTTATTTGTCTAGTTTTGTCTTGATAAACTTGTTTAATTTCATGAGGTTATCTTATATATGATTTCCAAAGTGTATATACCCATAAACATGCACTCATGCCCTTTTGTCTTGATAAACTTGTTTAATTTCAAGGTTTTATTGTAATAGGGTTACAATTTAGACCTTGCTTGATCCAAATCTTTCGGGTTGTCACAGGGGTAGCGAGTGAGGTATGTAATATGTAATAACAATTTAATTACGAGGTTATAAATAGTAATAAAAATAAACAAAACTCCTGCTCATGTGTAGCATGGGCCCAGTTTCTAGTTAGCATTCAAATCAATGAAATAATGTTCTTTTTGAACGTGCCTTTTTTAGATCCAGAACCCACCGATTTCATAAATCACCAATCTTAACTTGAAATGTGTTCTATTCACCGATCATGACCAACTCATTATTACCTCATTATGCAAGGATATCAATTTCATGAAGACGTTCACTAACTATATTTAACTCAAGGTTCTAAAATGCATGAGGCGTGGCGTGACGGCAAGGCCAAACCTGAAGCTCAATGAGCCATGGCGAGCCATGGCGTTTTTCAAGGCATGATGTAAGACAACGATTTTGTATTAATTTATAATTATATTACCACATAAATATAGATTTATATCAAATATAACTAGTTTTTAGAAGTATTATATCAACACCTAATAACAAAAAGTTAACAAAAAAACACAATACTTATATGTCCGATTCTAGAAGGCATAAAAAAGAGCAAAAAACGTATCTCAAACAAAAAAAACACGCGTCATAACACGCCATAAAGCATCATGGCATGCCATATCACGCATTGTCATGCGCCACGCCTAACAGCAACGTTACGAGACTTTTCGTAACGGCGAAGTCGCGCCTCACGCCATGACACACCTTATAGAACACTGATTTAACTCTTTACTTTTTAGAGAGATTTATGTTTTATAAGTTGTACTAATGATGGTCAAAGATTGATTAATTTGTTGGGATCTTATGGATGCATTCTACATAGTAACGATTTTGAACATATGAAATTGCATTTCGAATTTGTGGTTCCTTTTGCTAATGAAGAATTTGACTTATTTGAGCTTCCAAATAAACACAGTTAAGATAGAACTAATAAAAAGGTTATCGCTGAATTTTAGAAAGAAACTTTTCAAAATATATTTTAGATGCCAACGAACCCATTTATTTTATAAAAGGGTAACTAATTTATGCATTGTGTATATTTACATGCTATCTTGAACATGTCACATCTTTTTCTAATTTTACACTTTTGACCCAAATTTATTTTTTGTTACGAATTTGGGCCGAACATAAATTTTTTTACAAATTCATCCCAAATTTAGTTTAATTTACAAATTTACTTTTCTAAAACTATTTTAATATTTTTTTTAGAATAATTTACAACCTTCTTGAAGATTTTTTCTTAATTTGGTTATAGTTATTTTTTTTTATTCTTTTACATCATTTTTATAGAAAAATTTATTATTTTCTAAACTTATTTACAAAAAAAACTTTAATTTGTTTTTTATTTTTTAATATGACCGTTTTAAAGTTGATTTATAACATTTTTTTACATTCTCATATAATTTTAATACATAGTATAACAAGTAATACTTTTTTTTAGAAAAAATAAGTATAACAAGTAGTAAAGTTTTCAATAAAAAGTTATAAAATTATTTTAAAAGAATATGTGCATGATTATTTGATAGTTGTCGAGGCCAACAATATAAATACTCTAAATATTGCACACAAAATAGTGCATATTGGTAAATGGATTGTATCTATGGAGATTGATTTAATTTATAACTCTATGAAAATCTTGTTACATAAATACTTGTAAAACTAAAATAAAAATAAAAATGGGGGTTTTAATATTTTGATTGTTTAAAGAAACTAAAAATGTACAGAGACTTAGAAATCACAATTTAACAAAAAATAAAATTTTAATGTAAATCAATGAGAGAAATATGGTTGACAATGGGGCATCACTTGAACATTTGGTAGATAAATCATTAGAACTCAAGGTGCAATACTTGTAATAAATCTATAATTTGGCTATAGCAATCCAAGAAACTTGAGATTACCTAGACATTTCTTAGTTAGTAAAATAGCTAGAGAAGCTCATAACATATTTCATTAGTTAAAGTCATAATTTCCATTAAACATGTAATTAGTGAAAGTTAACTAGCATTAAGAATCAAAAAGTCACCAAATTCAAGAGGAGTCAAATGCTTTCACTACCATATTGGAGAAAATGTTTTATGATTGTGTCAAGTGGAAACTAACATAAGATCCATTTGTTGCTTGCTAATTTGAAGATTCATTACTTAATCAAGAAATTAGCCAACTAATCACTACATACACATCCAAACTCATGAATAAAGAGATACAAGTAGAAAGAAGATGTTAAAATAGAAAACACTTTCATAAAGATTCAAGAACGAGTACATAAAGTTCTTCAAAATCAACCAGATATTCAAGGATTACTTCCAAAGTCAACCAACAGAAGTTTAGCCTAGCATGACTAAACTCAAGAAAACAAAATAAGAGTTAATTGTAGAAAGCATTCCAAGTGAAAATAAGAGCAAAATGATAGTCTTCCAAGTGTTCCTGGTGTTCTTCAAGAGCTCCCAAGTACAGAGGATTTGCTCCAAAACTCAGATCTAAAAGTTTTTGAAAACTGTCCCACCAACTTTCCCATATAGCAACCATAACCAAAATTTCGGATCTATCCCTGCAACGTTCATGCAGATCATTTGGATTCTCACGCGGACCATGTGAGATGCGCTGAAATGAAGAATCGTTGCTTTCAAAAGCATTCTCGTTCCATTCTCTCATTTTCTTTGCTGCAGCCCAATTCATTGACTTCTAAGCCTAATTGTTTGTCATCTTAGCACTTCCAAGGTAGCCCAAGTCTTCCTTTAATCTTCCAAAGCCCAAGTCATCACATCCTCATTAGATCATTAGCCCATATTGATTCCATATTCTTCTCAACACCAAGCCCAATTGTTTGCATCCACTAATCTGGAAATATACCGCAAGCTTCATGTTTCAATATCTTGCACTCCCACAACCGCTCAACATTATATAGTCTTTAATAAATCTGCAATTAAACTCAAAAGACTAGAAAGTACACAATACAGTTATAAAATAACAAAAAAGAAAATATACATGGAGATTAACTAGAATGAAATGAGATATGCTAAAAATAAACTATAAAAAGAAGTAAGTAAAATGAAACTATCATTATTGTTAATTGATATTTTAATGTTTGGTGACAATTAATTTGTTTGGATTACTTGATTAATCATATGGTTGCATTCTCCACGGTGGTGATTTTGAACATATGAATTTGATGATTTGACGATTATTTGGTTTCTTTTGCTAACGAAGAATTTTAGTTATAGTGCATCACAAACCATGATGACTCATGAATTAACCAACTTGTGATAAAACCCAACTTTGGATACTTTCTCTCTATAAGTTGTTTCGTTTTTTGGTTTGTATCTTTTGGGAGTTGGTTTTATGCTTAAAATATGTTACAAACCTAAGGCTTTCATCCTTTCCACATTTCTCGTTTTATGTTTGGCTTTACAAACTAATGTAATTCCCCAAGGATTTGATTGATGTTACTTCTATTACAAATTGTATTGCTTAATTATGCTTATTACTGTTTGCATCGACAACCATCACATCTTAAATGAATCCTAACGATACATGTCACCTGAGTTTTGTTCGATGAATTGTCATATCAATTTGCTTAACCAAGACCACCATTGGAACTTAAAATTTATTGTTATATAGAATTTTCTTTGGTTGAATTTAGTTTGATTTTAGGATTGAGATAAGATGATGAAGGTTATATATGTAAGCGATGAAGTTGGAGGCAAAATAATAATTTTACTTTGGACCTAAAATTACCTTTTTAACATCGTTCGGATCAAGGGCGGAGAGAACAACAAAAACAAAGTTTAGTGAATTTCAAATTTTTTGACACGCTGCAAGAGTGCAAGGACTTATCTTGTAACTTGCTCTTTAGATTTTTCAGATCATATAATGTAATCTATTGCGTTTACTAATTTATTTATTCATTTATAATATTCTAATATAGTCAAACTGTCGTAGGGGAAACTATATGCGCACACCAAACTATTCCTAACGACCAGTCTTCTCCATTGATAATGCAACAAGTTCTCCACCAACTCCACGCATAATCATCTCATCAATGTCGACTCCATGTTCAATCTCTTCAGGCTCTTCCTCTTTCTTCAACAAGGTTACTACTTACATATCTATTTTCGAGTCAAATATTTCATCATGGAATAATCCTCTTTAACAAATCTTGTTATCTGAATCTTCAGATTTCCCAGAAAGATGGGGGTCAATATGCGCAGCCCTCGTTTGCGATCACCATTTCCAAGCAAAAACAAGCATCAAGGAAGATCGTTTCTATCATGACACCACAAACATCTGAACGTAAACCATCAACAACTGGTTCAGTTGGGTTCTTTTCTTCTTGACCCTTTCTTTATTCATCTCTTTGATTATATGTTTAACTTTGCTCCGATATCCATGGAGTTTATGTAACTTAAAGAGGGTTTTTGATTACTTAGATGTATCTTTTCTTCAGGTAAAGACAGGAATGACGATGACAGAAAAAATATTTTCTCGAGCTTCTGAAAAATCCCATCTGATCCCCGGTGAGAATGTTTGGGTCAACGTTGACACTTTGATGACCCATGATGTTTGTGGTCCTGGTGCTATAGGAGTCTTCAAGAAAGAATTTGGCAACAATGCTAAGGTACATCTACTCATATTTACACATTTTTACCTTTTTTTGGTGATTAAACTTTATATAAATGAATTTGGATATTTAAGGTTTGGGATCGTGAAAAGATTGTCATCATACCTGACCACTATATATTCACAAGTGATGAAAGGGCAAACAGAAATGTTGATATCTTAAGGGATTTCTCAAACGAGCAAAACATAAAGTATTTCTATGATATAACGGATCGTGGTAATTTCAAGGTATATATATAGTTCTCTCTTTTTGTCTAAAGATTTGTTATAATAGATATTAAAAGATATATAAACCATAATTTTTCAGGCTAATCCTGATTATAAAGGTGTATGTCATATTGCTCTTGCACAAGAAGGCCATTGCAGACCTGGAGAGGTGCTCCTAATTAATTAATCTATGTGACTTGATACATTTTTAATGCTATCTTACTATATGAAAATTGTCCCATTAAGTCCTTTACATGTTACTTTTCTTTTAGATTCTTCTTGGTACTGATTCCCACACATGTACTGCTGGAGCATTTGGCCAGTTTGCAACCGGAATTGGAAACACGGATGCCGGTTTTGTGTTGGGAACCGGAAAGCTTTTGCTTAAGGTTTGTAGATAAATTAGTATTCTTCATTTGTGTGTGATTTTGTAATCTTCCTTGCTTAATATGGTGGGGTATGTATTGCACGACCTATGTATCTACAAAATGATTATTCTTCTGGTGGTGACCCCTGAGCTTGCTCACATCACCCTACTTAAGGTACATAGTGGGCCCACTAGGTGGTTGGCATAAGAGCCCAGAGTGCCTGTAAAGAGCCCAATCCACATTGGAATTGGAACTCTTACACTGTAGCTATTGAGACTTGAAACCCTTGTCTGATTATGTCCGAGTGGCCTTTGTTTAATTGGAGATAGAAGTTAATGAAAAGTTTTGATTCTTTTTTGGAATGATAGAAAACAAGTTGTACACCTTTTTTATTATCCAAATGTACCTATTTTGTAACAATTTGTCTTTGTACTTGACACTTTCTACTTTTCTTCTTTGTGACCATGTTTAATAGGTACCTCCAACTTTAAGATTTGTGATGGATGGAGAAATGCCAGATTATCTTCTTGCAAAGGATTTGATCCTACAAGTAAGTTTAATTTTGGCTTACCTTATGACAATATCTTTTAATCAAATAATCTTGAAGCAAACTATTGTGTAAAACTCAATGATACTATGTATATGTAACAAGCTTAAAGGCATAATATTATGATATCTTTAAAGACTTATGGTTGACTAGCCTTCTTATTGTAGATAATTGGTGAAATATCTGTATCTGGTGCAACATATAAAGCAATGGAGTTTGTTGGGACAACTGTGGAAAGTCTAAGTGTAAGTTTGATTGTTCTATCTCCATGGTATACAACTATTTCACGAAAAATACAAAATGTATTAATTATATATTTGCATTTTCATTTCATAGATGGAAGAAAGAATGACATTATGCAACATGGTGGTTGAAGCCGGGGGTAAGAATGGTATTGTTCCAGCCGATGCTACAACATTTAAATACCTTGAGGTTAGTTTTCCTTTGATCTTTTCAATATTATGATTGATCATCTTCCTCTTAGCTAGTTCTTAATAAAGGTTAAGCTCACTAAATGTCAACATACTTTCATTTGTCAAAAATATGAAATTAGTGGGATAATTGAGCAAGATATCCTTCCATTACAATGTTTATATGTCTAAGATTTGTAACCTCCCCCCTCTCCCATTCACTCATGTTCACAGGACAAAACTTCTATGCCTTATGAACCAGTCTACAGTGATGATCAAGCAAGGTTAATTACTCAACCATTAATGTTATAACCAGATGAATTTTCTACTTTTAACTTGTTTTGAGAAATTTTAGAAGTAAAATCCTTGACCTTATTCAACTTTGGATACAGATTTCTTTCCGAATATAGAATTGATGTCACAAAATTGGAGCCACTCGTGGCAAAGGTTAGAGATATTGTTTCATTCTTTCTGAGTTTATGCTTTTGATAATTGATATAATATTAAAATATTAACTTATGTTCTTTTACATATTGCAGCCACATTCTCCTGATAATCGTGCTTTAGCACGAGAATGCAAGGATGTGAAACTAGACAGAGTGTATATTGGGTCATGCACAGGAGGCAAAACCGAGGATTTTCTAGCTGCTGCTAGAGTTTTCCTAGCTTCCGTAAGCTTTTAGGTGTCTTGCTGTTTTACTTTATATATTATGCCCCAAGTGTGCATTGGACTCTTATGTCAACCATCTAGTGGGCCACTGTGTACCATGATTCTCCTGGGATCGAGCAGTATGGGTCAGCTTAAGGGTTGCTGGAAGAATAACTTTTTTGCAGAAACTTGTGATATTATGTGAAACTAAATCTAATATCTAATGTGTACTTATAGACGGGTCAAGTTTTTATGATACTATATTTAAAAAATTATTTATATAACATGCAGGGTGGTAATGGTAAGGTCAAAGTTCCCACATTCATTGTCCCGGCTACACAAAAGGTTTGTGCTTTAAAGTATTATATGTAATGATAACAAGGGTTTTCGATACTTTTACAACTACCATGATACTAATGTTGCACACTAAGCTAGCTCTTATAGTAGCCACCTAGCAGACTGTTATGTATCTTATTTATATCTAGCAGACTGTTGTGTACCTGATTTATATCTCACATGATAATGGTCTTGGGGTGGGCCAGTGTAGGCCACCTTAGAGGAAGATGACATTTTTACATAAAACTTTGAAGAGTAGTTATGTTTTTATTTTATGTTTGGTAGGTGTGGATGGACTTGTATACCCTACCAGTGCCAGGTTCGGGTGGCAAAACTTGTTCCCAGATATTTGAACAAGCGGGCTGCGATTCACCTAGGAGTCCTAGTTGTGGTGCTTGTGTGGGTGGTCCATTGGATAATTATGCACGAATGAATGAACCTCAGGCAAGTATATTTTTTTCAAAAACTTACTTTTAAGTTTTAATGCTTAATTAACTTCAAAAGTACAAATTTTCTCAACTTTTGAGTGTTATTTAGCATCTACTGACATTCATTTGATAATGGCAGGTTTGTTTATCAACCACCAATCGGAACTTTCCGGGTCGCATGGGACACAAAGCTGGTCAAATCTATTTAGCTTCTCCTTACACTGCTGCAGCTTCCGCTTTGACTGGTTTTGTTACTGATCCAAGAGTGTTTCTTCATTGACATCATCCATGCGTTACAAAAACATTTGTATAAGTTTTGAAATATCAAAATTCGTTGCTACATCCGTTAGGTAATTCGAGAAGGCATCTTTCTCTACATATGTGTTTGTTTTAATGTAAAATCATTCAAAATCTTTAAGCCTCTACTTGTTTTACTTCCTTAAGTGCATTGTAAAGTAAAAAATTGTCTGCGAAAAGATTATTCTTCTAGCAACCCCTGGCCCACATCAAGCAACATGTGAGAGCATCATAAGAAAACCAACAACAAAAGTAGAAAACTTGACACAAGAAATATAATGATTGTAACCTAAGCAAACTGTTATCCCATTGCTAAATGCCAATATGGTTTCTGATTAATTTCTTTCTTTCTACAAAGGGACTCCATACATTTTGCTACAAGTATGCCTTATGTGCTTGAACTTGAAATCTTGAAATCTTGAATTTTGGCTACTCTTACTGCTTTTTTCCCTGTGCCAAGCTAACTCTCACTGATCGCCCTTCTAGCTCCTGTTAAAAACAAGAAAGATAAATCTTTTTTTTTTCCATGAAATCAAGATAATTTGAAGTAATTAGTAATAAAATCATTACCACTCCATTAAGAGCCTGAAGGGCTGACTCCATTTCTGATTTCGTGGAGTAACTCACAAAGCCATAACCACGAGACCTTCCAGTTTCACCATCATATAGAACCCTTGCTCCAACCACATTGCCATGTTCGCTAAATTTTTCTGTTAGACTCTCGGAGGTAACAGACCATGAAAGATTTCCAACGAATAATTTGTACTCTGTTTCTGGGTACAATGGTTCTTTCGGCTTTGGTTTATCAGAAAAATTCACCCTTAATGTTCTTCCACCATATTCCTGTAAACAGACATGAAACTCTATTGATTAAGTAACCTTTTTTGTTTGAAACCATTTGATGTTCTATGTTTTCATGTGAATACTTACTCTTCCATCGAGGTTTTCAATGACAGCTTTACAATCTTCGATGCTACTCATTGTCACAAACGCAAAGCCTCTGCTTTTACCAGTGTCCCTATCGTAGAGTACCTGGTCAAGAACTTGATCCATAAATATAACTTAAACAATATGAATCAATGATCTTTTTTTACATTCTTTTGGCGAAAGTTAATCACTGTAAGAGATCGAGGAAATACTCATGGATTTTGAAAAATAGATGTAGAAAATAATCAATCTTTTTGATGTTAATGAAACAATCAATTATTTGGGTGTATAAAGATGGAGAATTTGAGATGTATGTACCTCAACAAGCTCTGGACTAGCATAATCTTGAATTATTCCGGCGAGCTGAGCACTATCGCAGAGATACGGCAAATTCCCGAAGTAAAGCTTGGTATGTACAGAACTGATTGCCTCGGGTTGATCTCCTCCGTCACCGGAGACTTCTTGCACTTCTTCCTTGACCACCGGTTCCTCCTCTTGCTCGAGGGTTTCCTCCTCTGTCGCCGATACTGCCGCTTCTTCTTGCGCCACCGAAGCCGATACCCTTAGCACCTGCCACTTTCCGGATATGGGTATTGGCTGAGTTCTCGTAAGAGAATGAGATAATGATGATGATTGTAACCTGGGTACTGTAGATGTTAATCTAAGAAATATAGGATCAGAAGACCATGGCTTTGATTTTATGTTACACTTGGAGAAAGGAGAGCCGATGGCAGCGGCAGCTGTGGCAGTCGCAGCGGCCATGTTGCCTGATCCGGTGGCGGTCGCTGGTTAATTTGCTAGTGATGACTGGTGGTTGTTTTCTCCGATTGATGAAAGCTGCCCTAAAGGGAAATGTGTTGGCTTTTTAGCCATCTATGCTGACGTGGACGGATGATATCCAGTGAGACGTGAAGATGAGTGTGATGATAAGATTCTTATGGGGCCACAAAATAATTTTCGGTTTACCTTAAAACAAATTTTGGTTCATATTTGGGTAAATTTTGCATTTATGAATCGAGTTAAACGTGATTAAAGGTAACTAACTATTTAAAATGTCATAAATATTAGGGGTGAGCAAACCCGAACAAAGAATAGGGACGGACTTAGGAATTGATAGTAGGTGTTGTTGAATTTTTTTTCCCGATCAAACACAGACCTGATTTTGAGCAGGGGCCACATGGGCATGTGTACAGGGCCCTTTTTTTCCGGGCCTGAATTTTTATATATACATTCATTACAAATGCAAAGGAAAAGATAGTCAGTTCAGTAGTCCACACGCGAAAGGGAAGGCAGTCGGCAGAAGCGAGCAGGCGAGAAGCGGTTATTCAGCTAGAAGGCAAGAAACGATCATTCAATCGATTACCAGGTCTGTCGTCCACTCCTGATTCCTGATAATCAGGTTATTAGGAAATCGATTATTCTAGTCTTTATGTTATCATATTATCATAAATTAAATGTATTTATGTGATCAGAATTCAGTAATTGAATGAATTAGATTATCAGAAATTCCACTGATGAGGTTATAGTTTATTAGAAACTGAATACTTGAAGTTAAATGGTAGCTTTTCATGTTTTTTTGAAGTTCTATTGTTGGACTAGGTTATATTGATTTCCATGTTAACTGGTGTTTGTAGTTCTATTGTTGGACTAAGTTATATTGATTTCCATGTTTTTTGAAGTTAAATGGTAGCTTTTCAAGAAACTGAAGTTACTTTGTTGAGGAATCTACAAACAAAGATGAATGAAAAGAAACAAAATATGTAGGTGGAAGATGGATTATTGAATATCGAATTCTCGAATTCTTGATGCGTTTTTAATGGTGAAATGTTATAAATTTTATGAAAAAGGTTATTTTGATAACATATGAACTATCAAGTATCATAAAATCTTGATTTTAGAGAAAAGAATATGCACAATTGAGGGTATTTGAGGGTATTATTTTTTGTTAGTCTCATATTCATATCTACATTTTATCTGTCTATACCATTTGTCATTTGTAATTTTTTTGTGGGTCCCATATGATAATTCTTTGTATTGTTGTATATGTTAGGTTTTCATAAACCATTAGATGCTATCATGCAAAACATAAGTAGCTTAGAAGATTGATGTACTATATTTGACATCATGATAATTATATGTTATAACTTAAAGATGATATGGTTATTCTGAGATAATGAAAGATATAATGCCTTGAGATGTCCTTTTACTCTAATCTTATATGCATCATGGGCAATAATGTAATTTTAAACCACTTCAGTCCTCATTTCTAACAAGTGCAGTCTTGAGATATAAGGATCATATGGTTATATGTGGAACTAGCCTCATAGCCTCATATGACTTACTATACAATACCCAAAGATATATACATGTATCATAATAACACCTGTGAGACATTGACATTGCAAACTATGATTTTTGCTATGTTTATTGTTATAAAGTTTATTGTCATTAAAAAAAAATTGTTATATAATTTAATTCGTTACACGTTAGGGCCTAAGGGCCTTTTTTTTCCGGCTCGTCCTGGGCATTTGAATCCTCAGGACCGACCCTTATCAAACATAATATAAAGTATGTTGCTATTAATAACTTATGTATTTATATTAATAGCATCGTACTTTTATTACTTTGTTAATTAAATCATTCTATTTTCACTTCTTTTTCATATTTATAGTATTTATAGCATCTTATTTTTGTTTTCTTTTTCAATTATAGCAATGTAGTTTAAATATTATTTTGTTTTTTCTATTATAACATCATACTTTTAATAAAAATGTACTTTTATTAGTTTGTTTTGTATTATACACAATTTCAATTTCATATAAACCTAAACAAGTAACACAAGCATACATATTTCTATTATAGCATCATGAATTTAAAGACAAACACTTTACTCAAACTAATAAACCTAAACAAGTAACACAAGCATACATATTTTACATTTTATACATTCATATCAACCTAAACAAGTAACACAGTCATACATATTTCACATTTTGTATAAACCTAAACAATTTCAATTTCATCAGTGTGAATTATTATCCAATTAGTCTTTGGGATCAATGAACAATAATTCAAACAATTACTTAATGTTGTGTTCAATCAACTCTAATACCAAACTTAAGCAACCTTTCTTTGGTCAAATTACTTGAATATAATATCAAAGTTACCACTTATACCGTGTTTAGAAATCGCTAGAAATCGAAGGAATTGATTGATTGGTTATTGGTGTTTGAGAAGATCCTTCACCACTTTCATTAGGATTAGGTCTTGGTCTTTTGGTAAGAAAACCACTAAAGGTAATCTACAATTCAATATTAAGCTAAATAACTATTAATTTCACCAAATCATACAATAACTTCAATAAGAACATAACAATTACACCAAATCAAAATTGAACTTCAATAATGTAACATCCAAAATCACGATAAAAATTTCCATTTTTAAATTAAGAGAAATCATTGTTTTCAAACAAAACTCATATCAAGACCAAGTATCAAATAAAAATATCCCAAGATCAGTGTATCATAAATTTCCAAAAACACATGTCATCGAAGGATATGTACGATCACGCATTCGCCTTGCAACGATCGTCTGAAGTACCTGAAATAATAAACTGAAATTGTAAGCCAAAGCTTAGTGAGTTTCCCCCAAAGTACTACCACACAAACATATAATAACATGCATACCGGGTCCACAACTAACAGACTGGATTACCCCTGAGTTTGGCTTGCCTTCCGGCTCACAGCTCATGTCTGGCTTACTCCCAAGCCCACAGCATAAGTCTGGCTTGCCTCTCGGGCCTACAACTTATGTCTGTCTTGCTCCCAGGTTTGTTGGTTTCCGCACAAAGCAACATTTCCTCAACCGAACCATATCTTGTCGACATATACATAACATATAACATATATCCAACAAACATATAATCATATAACTAGTCAACAGACAAATAGACAAATCTACAGATCACTACCACATAACAACATCCTATATACCAGAGCTCATATCTAATAGATTAATACAACATAGCAACATCCTCTATACCAAGATACATAACCCACGGGGCCGGTATTGGTGCCTTCGACCCACAAGTACAGTGAGGAGAACTCACTTCACAGTCTGACGAAATAGCTGAACAATATGTTGCTCATAAGGCCAATTCTACCGGTCACCTTTTCAACAATCAGTGACCAAATATCATACTGCAACTCAAAATACCCAAAATACCCGTAAGTCAAACTTGGTTAAAATCCTGGTCAAATTCAAAAGTCAAAGAGTCAACCGATTCAACTCAGGTTGAGTACTACGCCCACCGTACTCATCATGTATTCACAACGTACTCACTAATCTAGGAACGGGGACTCCATTGCGTAAGCGCAACATACTCGAAAGCACGCCCAACGTACACGATCGGATAGCAATCTTTCATTAAGTGCTTATTTCCTTAAGTCCTTTCGTCCAAAGCCCAGATCTAGTCCCAAATAGTGTTCTAAATCATAAACTTTCCAAGTTTATGACCTTGCAAGGTATTAAGTGCCCAAACCTTAAAACCCTAACTTCTTAATCCATTAAGACATCATAACTTTTCATGGAAGGACTAGAAGATCCAAGATCACATTTTTATCACTCTAGAAACTATAAAATGTCCAAAAGGACAACTCTTTTGGTCTAGAGTAGCTTATACTCAAATGGACCAATATTATGGGGCTAAAAAGCATAAAACTCCACATCAAGAAAGATCTAATGAAATAACCAACAAGTTCACAACTTTATACCTCTAGATGAAGGTTGAGGGCAAGATGTTTCTGGATCCAAAGAGGTCTTGGGATTCTAAGGTGAATCCACTTCCTTCTTCCTCCTTCAAGAACACCAACAAGACACTCTAAGGCTCAAAATGCTCACAAAGGTGGAGTAGGGTTTTCAAGATATGAAATAGGGCTGGAGGCTGATGAGAGAATGAGTCTTGGGGAGTTAATGATGCTTAAATAGGGTCCACACCCTTAAAATTAGGGCTTGGGATTTGGCCACGTACGCCCAGCGTACTAGGAAAAAAGGCGCCTTCCTCCTTAATACACCATGGGAACAATTTTGCAATAAATTTCATGCATAAGGGTCAAAAATGTAATTTACTTGGATTATGAATGTTATAATTCTCCCCGACTTGAATCAGACTTCGTCCTCGAAGTCTATTATCGTGAATAACTCTGGGTAGTGCTCTCACATCTTCGCCTTGGCTTCCCAAGTCCATTCGGAACCCTTCCAATGCCGCCATTAGACCTTCACCAAAGATATCACCTTGTTTTGCAAGGCCTTCGTCTTCCTATCCAAGATCGCCACTGGTCCCTCAACATAATTCAGGCGATAAACAACCTAAATATCATACAAAGGAACAACCATTGAATCATCAGCCATTAACTTCCGAAGCTGAGAAACATGGAAGGTGTTGTGAATTTGACTGAGCTTCTCCGGTAGGTCCAATCGGTAGGCTACCCTACCAACCCTATAAAACACTCGAAACAACCAAATATATCTGGGCCCCAAATTGCCCCTCTTCCTGAAGCGTATTACACCCTTCAAGTGTGATACCTTTAGTAAAACCATGTCACCAACCTAAAATTCCAACTCGGATCGACGTCTGTTGGCATAAATCTTCTGCCGACTCTTTGTTGTCTGTAGTCTCTGTCTGATCTGCTGAATAAGCTATGTCGTCTAAAGAACTACCTCAGTCTTCCCCATTTCCCTGTGACCGATCTCTCCCCAACATA